TGATCACCACCTGCGAGAACGTTCACCGTGTACACGCCAGGTTCCTTGGGCTGAAAAATCAAGTAATTTAGAAATCGTTTTCCCATCGTAATTCTCCTTAACCTACTGTGAAATGTTAGACACTGCTGCAAAATTAATTAGTACCAAATTGTTTCAAAAGTCAACATATTCAACCTGCCTTTTCAGCTTTCAACGTTTTTTTCTGGAAAAACCCGTTTATTGGCAAGCTAATAAGACACATTCTTGTGTTATCATTGAGGTAGTACCAGAACAAGGAGGATACCTCTCCTCCTCCTCCCCTTCCACCTTATCCCCAACTATAACTTGTTAATTTCTGAGATAAATCTTATAGAACTGTAAGACATAGAACGAAATGGTTGAGAATGAAGTCTGCATGACTTTGTTTCTCAGCTTTCCATCCCCTTCTTCCCCACCCCTTTGATGTATTATATTCCCTTAACCAGTCATCAAAGCCTAAATTTAAAAGATCAATTCATTTAAACCGAGAGCTTCTCCACCCATCCTACACAGTGACGCCCTGGGATGGAGTTTATAAAATCGGGAAAAGTTTGAAAGAATTTTATAATTCTCCAGTTGAAGAGTTCAGCTCTTCAGTGAGTCAAAGGCCACATAGTGACGCAGCACCCTGCTTGTTTTGTCTGTTTTGCTAATTGATGTATTTGACACATGAAGAACAATATAGTTGCCTTCCTATCTTACTAATTTGAAACCTCAATTTAAAACCTTAAGAACAGATTTAAAAGAAAAGGCAGTGATTGGAAGGCTTCTTTGAAGATTCGCTCCACGTCGCTGAGCTAACTTTAAAAACAGACAGTTATGCATAAAATGCAATATTTTACAATCTTTCTCAGCGGTGCATTTTTATTTTGAATAAAAATTTTATAGCAACTCACTGTATAGGCGACAAGAGCTGCTCCTTGGCCGCGATCTTGACAAACAATCTCCGTCTTACTTGGTCCCTCTATGAAGAACGCTGCAAATTATAAGTTTTTAATTTTCAAAGTTTGTTTGCAATTTTACATCTATTATTACATAGAAACTGTTGCAAAAACTCCAAGAATTGGTCAAACAAGCGAAGTTCGCCTTTCGAGAGATTTTGAAATGGTTTGGCACAAATCCTGGAGCGACGTCACTCAACCATAGCGCCGTTAAAAATTGGTGCGGTCATGTTGTATAAAGACATACAAGAGATGAGTAATATTTGGCTTGCTATACAAAGCACATTAAATATGTTTTTGACAGTCCTGGCTTAGACAAAAATTTAAAAAATGAGAATAGCACTCAGTCCCATGTCCAAAGTATCATCTAATTGTGGCCTGCGTCTAAACACTAGTTGTTGCAAGCTTGACTCTCATGCGGAAAATGCCTGGCCTATTTTCGCCATCGCAAAAAAGTCCACAATTTATTCAGATTGCCATTTCCAGAGCTTTTTTAAGACAAAATCAATGGTATACTGCATTTATGACAGAAGGTCGCTAATTTGAGTATCAAATTGTTTTTGATTTATGCAATCATTCTTAAAAAGCCGAAAATTTGGTCGAAATTCGTTTCTCGGTCGAAACTTTTGCAAAAGCCTAGGATCTTCGTCAATTGTTTAGCTTGCATGTGATTCAGCACATTATGTTTACGTTTTCAGTATTTCCACCTGCATAGCTAATTATGTTACTGTTATAAATAAAAGCCTATGAATTGTCTCAATCAACTGAATTACACAAGTCCCAAATGATTTCAAAACTAAAAACATAAAGCCCGTCGAAATCTGCTATTAAAACTTAGCTTTTTTATCTAACTGTTAAAAGATTTTCTTTCCATGCTAGGACAGCTATCCTTCGTTTTGCCATTTTAAAAAATTTCCTGCCAGTGATGCGCTCCTGTTTAACTTTGGAGAAACGGAGATTGGGCGCCTCAGTGATATTGGAATTTCTAATCCGTAAAAATTCTCTCTATCAGCATTCAACTCGCAATCGTTTAGATTCAGACTATCTATACAAGTCCTTCAATTATGATTTAAAAAAGTCAAACTGCAAGGTTTATAAATGCCACTTACCCAACCTATCCGCATCTCCATTTGTCTCAACACTGAAAACGCTTTGCTGATCAGCTACACCGCCTTCTAATCCAGGTCCAAATGCTCTCACACGGGAGTTTGTCGGTGGCGCGATGTTAACCTAAACTGACACTATCATGTTCTATAAGAATAAGCTGCATGTAAAGAAATCCTACCTTATACGGTGTCTGCCCTATAGGTTCATTATTATTTGTAACATAAACAAGGTGTTTGCCGGTAGTTGTTGGGGTATAGATAAACGTAGACCGCAGGCCTTCCTTACTTCGGCGAACAGGTAATTCAAGACCAGAATCTATAACAGCTCTTTTCTTCAATCACAAGCGGAAGCCTGTATCAAGGAGCTGAATTTACATCTAATCAAAACGCTATATCTGTATGTGATGTGCGTGGATGTGATAACGAATACAAATTTTCCGCAAATAGTCTTAATGATAGAGCGAGATAGACTACCTTATGTAAGAAGA